GCTATGAGGCTTGTTTGGGGTTCCTTCGGGTTCCCCATTCGCCGGTCACGTCTAGGCCCTAGGCTTGGGTCGTGACAAAGCATCAAGTTGAAATCTTCAACACTAAGACACCGGAAGAAGGACGGGAGCCTTGAAATAGTTATTACATCTGAAAAGCCTTCTAAGAAATACGTGACCTGATATGTTATTGATGTTACATAGTGATGTTGGATAAGCGGATTAACATAGGTCTCCCTGTTCTTGCTGTCCACAATGGTATCTTTCCCATTGGGAGAGAGCTCTATTTCTCTCCTCAAACCTAACGACTCAACTTCACAAACAAATTTTAAGCCTAACACATCTTGATCCACTGTCTATGCATCCATATTTAGTATCTCCTTGCAGCCACGGTACAAGAACGGATCCACATCCCTAATGTCCTTCAATAATACACCATTTCCATCCAATTGCAAGAAAATTACGCGATCAAAACCAACTCTGATTTGTAGATAATATGCTAAGGCCAACACAGTCATCCTACCAGAGAATCGAAAATACTCAAGGTGTAACAGATTCACTTCAGATGCTGCAGCAAGCACAAATGGTAGATGAGAAATATTTCTACACTAAATAAAAGGAAAAAGGGTCAAATGTACCTATCCCTCAACATTGCGATTTAAAGTAACAGTCCCTCTTCTATTCCCTCATAAAATGATATGGGGTCGGGTATGACTAATAGAAGGATTAGGTGTTTATTAGTTAGGTCGGGTCTGGAGGGGTAAAATATAATGTGTGAAGTAATTTTTTTAAGACACCTAAGACGGCGAAGTGTATCTATGAATCATTTGTCAAACAACAAGGGTATATAGGCACCACTTATTAGACAGTGAGATTACCTATAAGCATCCCTTCTTAAACACTGAGAGTAGAGTTTAGAATGAAGGAAAACATTTTCTATGTGAAATGTTTTCAAAATATTTTCTCAGAAAATAAGGTGGTTCTAACTTATTTTCTCATTTTTGGTTGGTGAGTGGAAAATATTTTCTAATATTTGGTTAATCAATGATAAAAAATTTTGATATTTTTTTTCCAGTTTAGCTAGAAAGTAGAAAATACATATTAATAAATAGTTTCTGACCCAGAAACTAATCTTGAAAATTGATCCAGGACATCACCCCGACATCCGAATTGAGGACCCCAATGACTGCTTTAGGTTCTGACCCAGACAAACGACCTTAGACTAACCCTGACTTTTGACCCGGGCCTAATATTCAAACTAGGACCCAACTTTGACTTTTACTCTAATCTAAACACCCGAATCAGGACACAATACCAATGACCAATCGTATATCCAACCCCGACTCATAAATTAAGACCTGTATTTTGAACCAAAACCCTACCCCACTACTCAATCCCGATGACTGGTCCAGAACCTAACCTCGACTCTTACTCAGGACCTGACTTCTAAACTGAGAACCAACTCCAACACCTAAATCTACACCCGACCTCAATAACTAATTGGGATTAAATCCCAATACTCGACTCAGGACCTGACACTCGAATCGAGACCTGACATCTGATCTAGATCTTGATTTTCATAATGGGACATGACCTTACTTCCAACCCACGACATGACATCCAAATTGAGGCTTGAGTCCGACTATCTACCTGAGGTTTGATGAATCATGAACTTATGGCACATTTGATGCCCAAAACATAGAATTATTGCAAGTAACCAAGCATGTTTTTGTTAATATGATGCTCTTTGGTGTAATATGCAGGAAAAGAGGTTTTGGAAGAATTTGAAGGAGAAAAGCCTAAAATAGAAATGAAGTGGTTGAGGTTAGATTCTCATACGATCTGCGAATCTCTGTAAGGTCCGTGAACCTAGCCGTGAAGATAGGCTAAAAGAGGAAAAATCCAAGTGCAAGACAACTAAACCATGTTTGGTTTGTGGTGCCTTCTACGATAAGGCTAGGAGTCTGTGAAGCTTGAGACTAAATCAAAAGGACAGTTGAACGGGACTTCGTACGAGCTGTGGAGACCTATACGGTCCATTTTGAGGCTCGTGGGAAGATGAGACTAATTTGAACAAATTGTTCTATGCGAAAGATTATGGAGGGATTAACGGACCGTGAAGAGCTTTACGGGTCATTTACCCTCCCGTAAAGAACATCTACTAAGATTTATCTCTGAGACTATAAATAGTTATTTACGGTTTTATTATAATATTATTCCTATTCTGAGACATGTTTTTATCGATAAGATGATAGCTTTCCTTTTTTTGCTTATCTTTGGATAACTAATCAACATTTTGATCTTAAGTTTTAATTCTTAATCGAAATTGAGTGAATTTCATTATCATGAGTGTTTCACTTTTAACTCTTCGTCAATGTTTCACTATTATTTTTTCGAGAATATGAGCAGCTAAACACCACAACTAGGGTTGTGGGAACCCTGACTAGGTAGGAACTGTAGGATCAACAACGAATGATAATGATTGTAGATTGATGCCATGCATTCTTCATTTTTATTTTCCTTTTGAATGCTTTCTAACAAGTTCATGTGTTAGAATTTGCCATTATTCATCACTTGCTCAAGGGAGAAGGGTATGATCAGAAAAATCTAGAAACAAATGATCTTCATATTCTATAAACTCGTTTTGAAGATTTGTGCCCGAGAGGGGATATTTTTCTAAAGAAGAAAACAAGTGTTGATAATTCACACACTCTAAGACCGAGAGGAGACGAGTGATGTTCATCTAGGGCTTAAAAGAATTTAGGTGCTCTTAATTTTCTAATAATACATGCTTAGAATCAAAAGACCATTACATGTTTGAAATTCTGAGTTGCATGTCGATGTCATAAGGAACACAATCCTGGTCTCTTCCATTTCATAATCAAAACTATGAGACTATCATTTTTTACTTTTAATATTGGATTCTAATTACTCTTTGTTACTTTAACACTAAATTAAACTCAATATATACTTTACATCATTTTTATTTCTTGAAATATCAACCACAACTGAATATAAGAGCTAGTAGACTTATTTCTTATGTATTCCCTATAGGACCAACTTCAACTTTTGTTGAGTTTTATTATTGATTTTGACTGTTTTATACTTCTTATGTGAAGTTCAAGCTTTGACGTATCAAGGTTCAACATCCAAATCGATACCAGACCTCGATACTTAACCTTGACAACTGATTTAGGACTCAGCCTCGAAATCTGATTTAAAAATCATGACCCGGCCCCGACACCCAATCCGAAACCCGACATTGAAACTAGGATTTGACCCTGACATCTTATGTGGGACCCGACTCTAACAGCCAACCTAGGATCTAGTTTATGAATAGTGATCTGACCTTGATACTCAACCCCAACCACAAATTCGGGACTTGAATTTAATACATGCCTTAGGACCCAACCTCGAATCTCGACTCTAACACCCGACTCGAAACACTACCCCAACATCTGACACAAGACCTGACCTTGCTTCGGGAATTGACCTCGAATGCTGACCTACGACCGGACGCCTAAATTGAGATTCAACCTTGAGTTGATTCGAGACTTAGGAGTTGGGTCTCTAATCGAAGTCGGGAGTTAGGTTTTTAATTAAGAACCAAGAGTCGAATTCCTAATTAGTATCGAGAATCGATACCCGAGACTTGAGTTAGTGCTGAATGCTGAGGTGTGAGGTTGAAAAAGAGTTATGGAAAATGTTTTTCTTATTTGTTGGAGATAAGTCATATCCCTCAAATTTGAGTAATAATGCATAAATGAAATGAATGGTTACCTTGATTTGGGAAAAAACTTCTATTATAGTCTGGGCAAGCAACAAAAAGTGCATTGTTTGGGTTGAAAATCTCCTGGGATGCTAGTAAGAACCATTCCCTCAACACACCAAGCCCAATAGCTTGTTCCTCTTTGAATTCCCCAAAGAAACTGCCAGGTATATTTTTGAGTTTGGCAATATACTCGAACGAGTCTACCAGCAATTTGGACCTATCAATGAGCATGTAATACTGATCCTGTTCATTATCTTCCACTTCTAGAAGCATCATCATTGCCAATTTCCTCCGTATATAAAAGTTTGTTACCTCTTTGTGCTTAAAAAGCCACTCATAATGTTCTGATTCCTCTGCAAACTTAGTGATCAAAATGCATAATGAAACCTTTACTTGCCTCATTATCTGCCAAAAATCATTCTCCATATCCTTATACAGTTTGGATATATTTTGTAAGCCCTTCAGAATGTCAAGATATAAAGACCACCAAGGTACAATTAAAACATCTCTTTTTTTATCTCCTGAACCCAATAACTTTAAAGACCACGCTATTTTTGCGAGCAAATCATAGAACATCTTACACAAGGGTAAACCAATCTTTTTATAAAACTTTGCTTCATGAGTGTCGTTGTCCATAAACCGTAAGACATTCCACGTTGGATGCACAAATGCAGTAAAATCACTCACAAGGGTAAACGATAACCCCGCATATCCAGTTGTTCCCATAGTCGAGTCTAAGTCATGGGATAACTTAGTTGATATCTGCATATGACATGGAAAAACATTGTTAAAAGATACCAACTTTTACGGATCATACTTGCACCTCGTGATCCTTGTGAATTCTATCATAGCCCCTAAATTACTCAGACAAATATAATACAATCCATCCTCAGTTCCCACATCTTCTCGCAAAATGTTACAAAATTTCAAAACCATAAAATCATATATTGGTGTAAGGAAATCACTCTTAAGTGAATCAATCAATTCACGAATGCATATATAAGAAATCTTTGTACAAGGGTGAGTCATCTAAAGCGTTACCAAAGATTTTGGAACAGAGGAGGAAATAAATAACTCGAGATGTTCTGATGCTCGATCAAAATTATTTGGTGTCACACACAAAAAAATCATAAGCACGCTTTGTATATGATCTGAGACCGAACAGGGCTTAATGAGTGATCTTTGTTTTTGCATAGCTCCAAAATTCTTGAAGTGAAGTATTCAATAGATCCATCGCGATAACGAGATCACGCTTACGTTTACTGGTGGCAGTGTTGTCGTTGTTGATGGAAAATGGAGACATTCCATCCAAATGGGGTAGTAATTTTGGTGTAGAAGAGAGCGGAGAAACAGAGAAAGGCATGGGAATGTGATAAATGTGAGGGAAAAAATGGTTTAAAAGATAAGGGAAGCGATAAAATGTTAATTAATATAAAAATAATTAATCCCTTGAATATATTTTAAAACAATTTAAGTCCTTTAAGCTTATAAATTTTTTTGTACTACTTACGTATTTAAAATTTTATATTTCCATTGGAATTGTTTCAAGATATAGGGACTCGAATGAAGAGGTGAGTAAAAGTCACTAAGTGAGTCAATGGATCACATACTTGGAGACATGAATAGAGGAATTTCCTACTCTTTATAAAGTATCCAAGTGTTGAGAGAATGAAGTATGGTGACTACATAACAAGAACGGTGGGAAAAAGAGTTGCATGTTTCCATCAAATCTCAGACACTTCAACCTTAAAATCTACGTCAGACGCTAGAAACATATTTTTTTCAAATAGTAAAAACTACAAAAATTATGCCTCATGAATATGAGTTTCTATTAATAACTTTTTGATAATTTTTTGTTGATTCAAAAGTCGTTAAAATAACTTACGATAAGGATAAATGTTCACAATTGACAAACTTAGAGGACTTAATCGTTCATGAGTATATTTAAGTGATTATTTTTCAAATACCTCAAATATAAGGGACCATCTCAAAAATTGTCTCATTCTTTCCGGTAATGTAATGTAATGTAATCTAATCTAGTATATCTTTTATTATTTATATTGAATATTTATAAATGATTTTCGCCATTTTAATGGTATCATTTATATAGTTTTTGACTATTTTTTAAAACTGTTCGCCATTGTAATATCAATATTAATATCTCTTTTGACTTTTTTGTATTTAAAAAAAATATTTTTGATATTATAATTCAATATATTATAATTTTATTATACGATTTGTTTTAACATGTAATCCATTTTTAAATATTTTAATAGGGTCTAGTATGATTTAAATTTCATTTTTTCTACTATTGCAATCCGATCTAGTGTACACATACTCCTTTTAAAAAAAATTCTCATTAGATTTTTAATTTTTGAAAGGAAATGCGATCTAGTATAACTTTTATTTTAACGAAATCTTTTAGTATTTGTTTATATTAATCTCTGTGGAATTTTTTAGATAATAAAAAGTTCCGCATTTTGCTTTTGTTGCGTATTAATTTTTTTCATTACTGTAATTCACATTGTCATGATCCAAATCTTCGTGAATGACACCCACACTAATTCAAATTTGTAACGACTGGTTTCCGTAGTTATAGAAAAGCCAACGGGAAAAAAATTTTGGTCGGAAAACTTTTTCGTAGTAACTTGAAATTTCCCAACCTAGTCTAGATTTGAACAAAATCAGAGTCCTTAAAGTCTAGGGAAATTTGGTAACAATTGAGTGATAAAATTATTAATTTTATCACATGAGTAGATAGCTAAGACGTTAAGGAACCCGTATGACTTTACGGAATTGAATTCGGGTGAGTAGAACTCTCGAAATTGATCTTAGCGTGAACGGGTAGTTTCTGAGTGTCATTGGTTAAAGGTGTGTTGTGAAATGGGGTATTGGAAATATTGATTTTCCTCACTGATTCCGTGCAATCCGCTGAGGTGGGATTTTCCCTACCAAGGCGGGTGCCACCCACTATAACAAATTCGATTATCAAGGACACTTAATCCAGTTCTAAGCGTCAACGATCGTTAGTCAGTATAATAACCCAACTAAATGAGTTAGGGTCGAATCCCATAGGGAGTAGTACGTGTTTAAGATTCAATAGGAAAGTACGAATATGCTCAAGTCAATCATAGGAATAGACATTTACGAATAAAAACATAATTCAAATCAGGGGTGACACGAATGTCAAATAACAGGGGGATTTTGGTTTTAAAATAGTAACTACAATAGCGACAAACAATAGAAACTAAGAGTATGAGACAGGTTCCTGGGATGTGATTCCATTAAGGACTAATATAGACAAATGGATAGTTGCAATTGTTAGTAAGCAGCTGAAAATTAGTGAATAGGCTAGACTATAGAGGAGGTAAACATTCTCTCGAAGAATTTACCCCGAATCAAGTCGATTTCTCTCTAACATCGACAAGCACGCAAAATAAGAACCTCCTACGCCTTAGTCCATTCACTCTCTCGAGCTGAATGTGTGGAAAAAGGTTTAGGATTCAGTCTCTCGAGCTGAACCCATGACAACCCAATACCCACTAACCATCAATCAAGAAACTTGGTTTTAAAACCTTTCTCTCGAGCAAGCAAAAAACATGAAAGTAGAATTGCATTTGCAACTACCATTATTTAAATTAAACCACAATTAATGATTGAAATCACTTCTAAACAACATTTAAACTAACAAACACCAATACCCACAAGCTAAATCAGCCCATAATCACATAATCACACCCCAATAATGGGGTTTTAGCTAGACAACATAAAAAGATAGAAAATCCTTACGAAATTGTGTTTCCATCAACTAGGTAAGATTAATTTCGTCTTTACAAAGGTCCAAATTTTGTTGATTGCTTGATATTCAAAAATGTATTTATAGTCGCCAAAAATATGTTGTGAAGGACCATTCGGTGCAGTTAGTCGGGATCACCAATCTACTTGACGATGAGCCCGAAGCCAATTTCATCGACTTTCTGTCTTGACCTTCAGCATCTTCAAGGTCTGTAACTTTGGATGATCAAACACTGCATCGCGGAATCACTCGATGATCCACCGACTGCTCCTTTCTCTCGCCAACTTGATTTTCTCCTTCAGGGATTGGCACACTGGAACTTTAGGCGGTCAAATGGCCAATCGGCGACTCGCGAAATGGACTTGCCGATCACCGGGCTCTCTTTTCTTCCTTCTTTCAGCTCCCTTCGTTCCTTTTTGCAAATTAGTGTCCTTGCTTTGTTCCTCAATCCAAATACCTGGAAATCAAGGAGTTTACCTCAGTTATTTGCACAAAATAAGCATTCAAGTACACTAAATCATTATAAATAAAACCCTAAATGAGTCTAAATCTTTGACTCATCAACACCCTCAACTTAAACTTTTGCTTGTCCTTAAGTAAAACTCAAGTTCAGCAGTTCAAAAAGGATGTCGCAAACAGTGCTACACAAGACTTAATCATGAATGCACACAACACGACTCAACTTACTCATGCAAGGATCAATTGTGTACTCAAAGATTCAAGTTATGACTGACCATTAGCAAAGATTCTCAAGTTCACCATACTTGCTTGAAATGCAAGTTCAAAATCAACAAAGGTGCACAAATGCCCTCACCCACAGAATAATTCCATATTCACACACTATTCTTAACAATTTATAGCTCCGAAATCACAATCAACACTCACAATCACAAAGATAAACACTTGCATGACTTCACCCATAGGTTTTGCCCTTATTTTCCAACCAACAATTATTTCAGCTCACTCAACATAGAAAAAAAGGGTCTTTTCAAGGCTTGTAATGGGGCTGAGTGTCAAAGGTATGGTCATTTAGGCTCAAATGGATGTAATAACTCATGAAATGTGGTATGAACATCACTTTCTTTCCTTTTGTTCAACATATTCACTCATGCTCCAAAGTCACCCCTTTATTTACTTTTCATGGACTACCGGACACCCCATTTCTTTTGGCATTTTCACAACTTTATTCCACAACTTTTTCATTCTTTTTCTTTTTCATTCTTCTTTTGTTTTTCTCTTTTTTTTTTGTATGGAGGGGTTCCATCTTTTTCACAACCAAGGCTCAAAGGGGGACTCCTTTGCATTTCTTGATTTACCTTCTCTTTTCACCACACCCCCAACTTAGGCTTTTGGCCTAAGTTGGCTCTTCAAACAAACTACAACTCATGAGGATTATGGGTGAAGGGATAAAGATGGGTCACATTTGTATAGAGTTTCTTCCAAGAAAAGGGCTAAATCTCAAAGGGTGTTCAACCAAAGTTCATACACTCACAAGGTAGGCCACAAAAGAGGTTTAATGTCCAATTGTTTCACTCTTTCAAATTGTTGCCTAAAATCATTTCAAGAGCTTGCGTCACTTAGTCAACCGGACCAACGGGGTAAATTCTAGGTGTCATCACACATGGTTCACAGTGAGCTCTTCACACACGACATTGGCATAAAATATAAAACAAGACTCCACACTTTTGCTAGTGTGCAATGTTCATCACAAGACACTTATTCGATAACCTGCTAGTCACACCGAGATGCAAAAATTTCACATATTGTCTATACAACTTCATTTGGTGTCATCGTAGCTGCACATTCATTTTCGTTCGATTAAGAGCACTATTCAAGTCATCGGTATCGAACACAACCGACATTGGTGAAGAATGACCAGGTCGCCGAAAGTACTGTTGGAGACCCAGATAATCGCGAATAGGCGAGTCAA